TTTATTTAAATAAAATTATATGCTCGATCAGTGCTAAAGAAGTGTATAGTTATTGCTAGCAAATGGGGAGAAGAAATACATGGACAGGGAAAGAGAGAGAACGAGAGTAAGTTGAGTGTGTGCAAGTGAGAGAACGAGAGGAAATGTGATGAGAGAGATGGAGAGACAAATAGATAGATAGAGAGAGAGAGAGAGAGAGGGAGAGAGCGGGAGAGAGAGACCGCGCGAGAGAGAGAGAGCGCGTGAGAGAGACTGGAATGAAGAGAGAGAGAGAGAGAGAGAGAGAGAGAGAGAGAGAGAGAAAGAGAGCGCGTGAGAGAGACGGGAATGAAGAGAGAGAGAGAGAGAGAGAGAGAGAGAGAGAGAGAGAGAGAGAGAGAGAGAAGAGATATATGTGAGCATCCCCGGTGGCTCGACTCGAGTGCTGCGCAAACCTAATCTCATCTCGGCGGTTAGACATCCGGACTGGTGTAAATCGACTAGAAGTCTTGGCCCGTTTACTTTGTTCTCATAGCGAGAAGCAGACAGAGAAAAAGAAAGAAAGGGAGAGAAAGGAGGAGAGAGAGAGAGAGAGAGATAGAGAGAGAGAAAGAGAAAGGGAGACAAAGTCTCTGAGGAGATGAGGGAGTTCTAGGCAGAGAGTGAGAGCGCGCGCGAAAGAGAAACAGAAAAAAACAAAAAAAGGCAAAAGGAAAGGCAATCTCTATACGTAAAATCCACTACCGTCGCTGCTACGCTAAGCTAGGATTACGAGAATCATGCCTCTCTGCGCCACCGCACTACAGCTGTGTGTGACGTAAGCCACAATGTGCTTGCTTTATCACGTAATAAGTTTTTTTTGCGTGAAGTGCACCGATGACGTCACCTCCATTCGTTTTGTTGTTGTCGTCTGTCATTGATGTCGCTATCGTTTTTTGCGTTGCTGCTGTTGATCCATACGTAAGCCTCAATAGGATGACAGCTAAAATAACCCTATGAAAACCACCTACGGTGATCTCTACAGTAACATTATGATGACCTCTACGGTGACGCCTACAGTAACCATATGATGACCCCTGTGGTGACCTTTACAGTAATCCTATGATGACCTCTGCGGTGGCCTCTACAGTAACCCTATGATTTCCTCTATGATGACCTTTACAGTAACCCTATGATGATGCTTATTATGACCGCTACAGTAACCGTATCATGACCCTTACGGTGACCTCTACAGTAATTCTATGATGACCTCTACGGTGACCTTTACGGTAACCCTATGATGACCTCTACGGTAACATATAAAGTAACCCTATGATGATCCGTAGGCCTACGTGGCAGCTGCATGATTCCCACAGGATTAAAATCTTTCCGCCTATATAATGGTTAACCTTTTACTCGGTAGACTCCGTATTCGCTGCCCGAGGGTTTTGTAAATGTTCGCTATCTAATTGAACAAGTCTTTCGGTAAGGCGATTACATCAATGAGCTTAATGAACGCAGAGAGCGGTGAGTCTGTTCCTCTGACCGCACTCCTAATGTCTAGCACACACACTACCAACTCCGCCCACCCACCTATACACACCCTACCCACCAACCCACCAACCGCTACCAGCAGATCTCCCCTCCCAGCTACTGTCTAGTAACCAACCATTTCTAAGGCCGCGCATCAGGGCGAGCTCGTGTGGAGGTCGTTAAGGTCACTGAGGTAACGAGGGGAAGATCTTGTGAAGATCACTGAGATCTCGAACGCCACAGGGAGGGATTCGATAGATATCGCACAGATACTTACTACAAGAACAGGTAAGACAGAGATGTCGAATCACATAGATGTCGTAAGTAGAGTTCATTCAGAGGTCAAGCAGAGGTCAAGGTCACTGTCGTTACGGGTTGAGGTCGGGTAGAGGTCGATAAAGGCATGGATGCGGCCATAGATCTCGGACTGTGCGCTCTCTCTCTCTCTCTCTCTCTCTCTCGCTCTCTCTCGCTCTCTCTCTCTCGCTCTCTCTCTCTCGCTCTCTCTCTCTCTCTCTCTCTCTCTCTCTCGCTCGCTCTCTCTCTCTCTCTTTCCTAAAATGCAGCCGCTGCTAATTGCAACCTCTCTGCTCAGCACGACGGTAATTACGTTTCTTTTGTTGTCGTCGTCATCAGTCGACTCTCGCTTTTGCAGAGCTTTACC